CCAGTTGGGGGTCGGGCCCAGAACCCCACCAGAGGCGGTCCGCGTCCCGGCGTTACCACCCGAGACCCTGCGTGGAAGAGGTGGCCTGCTCTGCCAGACCCCCCCCTCTCAGAGGGGCTTTTTTTCTGAGATGGCTTCTCTGGGTTCACCACGCACAATCGGGAGCAGCGCCCCGTGTAGCGCCCGTACCCCTTTTCCTGGGGCAACATCCAAAAAGAGATCCGTACAAAAAAAACCCACCCAACCCAACACGGAGGAGGAATGTCTGCTCTGGAGGAGACGGTGTGAAGACAAAGCAATGAAAAGTTTTTCAGGAAAAAGCGTAAACCACAACTTATTACGGGTGGCCAGGTCGCCTACTGCGGTACCCCCGGGAGAGGGGTGCCTGCCTCCCGCTGCCGGTTAGCATCTGCCTGGAAAACCCCGGTTGGATAACGTGCTACCGAGCACCTGCGTTTTGGCAGCGGCGCGTTCCTTGCCATTACAGCATCCACGTGCTGAAAAACACCGAGCGCCACAAGGCAGCCTTCCAAAGCGAGTCAGAGCAATTAGTTTTCCTTCAACGAACGAGCGACATACTAGGGTTTTGTTCAGAATCCTGCACGGACCAGCAGTCCTGAAGCAATCCCCATCGGACTTCAGAACAGCAGCGTCCGTGGGAGCGCGCCCAGATCCTGTGGCAGTCGGCAGGGCTCGCCGCTCTCCTGGCCACGTACGCGAGCGCAGCTCCAGCCACCGCTCAGTTCTTCTGACGCCGAACTTACTTAGTCTATTTGAGCTTCCAGCGCTTCCTCCAGCCCACATCTGTGCAACAAGCGGTCGGTAGTTTTACTTTTTTTTTTTTAAAACAGCTCCCTCATTTGTTTCAAACTCCCTTATTTGGAAAGCAGCAGGGAGCGCGAGGAAGGATGCGAGACGCGTGTCGCGGGCGAGAGGAAACCCAGAGTCCCCCACGCACGGGATGCGAGTTGTCCAGACTTGGGGTAGGAATTGAAAACAACTTCAAAGAGCCGGGTGCGCCTGTAGGTGCTGGGTTGCATTTGCTTTGTACAGGAAGATTTTTATATTTAAGATACGCGACGGTGGGGATTTTGTCTTCAATTTAATCAATACGGAGCTTTCTGTTGCCCTGAAGGCACTCCATCTCTCTAGGGATTGGGTTTGGTTTTGTTGGTTTGTGTTTAACATTGTCTCCTTCTGGGCTTGCACTTATGAAATATGTTGCCCTGCTATTGCTGTTATTTCCTGCGATGTTGAACACACAGATCAGAAAAGTTCTAATCGCCAGTATTGATCAAAACCACATTATTTTTCATAAACTTCCCCCTTTTTTGTAAAAGAAAAAAAACCCCACAACCTCACAACCCAGCCAAACTCGTACTATTCTAACCAAAAACTTGTACTGAAATACAGCTTCTTGATTAAAAATGAAGTGTATAAAGGGAAACTGAGGCACAAAGGGATGCGGTTTGCTCTTGTTTAGCACAGCAAATGGGGAAACTGGGAGCAGAACTCAATAAGGGTGAGGCTGCAGCGCTGCGCACCTGAAAGCGGAGCCCTAACCCCCCCCAATGCCACGAGGTAACCTACTCCATCCCGCTGCTGACTACACCTCGGAGCAAAACCAGGTGTAGAGTCCTTCCCACATCTCCTCCCTCTGCTCCAAACCACCAGTTTGGAGCGACCCTCAGCACCAGGGGTGGCAACCTGGTAGCTCTCTCTTTCACGCTAACCACTTGATTGTTTCCTCTTTCACTGATTAAAATCAAAGCCACAAAACAGAGTGAACCTTTCACTGAGAAATGAGATCGTGCAAGACACGCCGTCCATATTTGGGTGCTGCGTTTTGAGAAAGACATGGAGTGACTGGAAGCAAGCCAAGAGGAGAGCAATGAAAATCATCAGCTGTCTACAAAATGACCTGTGAGGGAAGAGGAAAGAACCAGGGTTGTTTAGTCTCGAGAAAACAGCTGAGATCTCATAATAGCCTTCAAATATGTAAAAGGAAAAGAATTACCGGGCTTGTATTGCAGGAGGGGAGAGAATTTCTTTTTGCCAAACGTGTAAACTGAGAAGTTAAGCACAGACCCAGACGACGTAGAGGACTGTGAAATCTCCCTCAATGGCATTTTTTAAGAATAAACTGCAAAAGCTGGGGAGTGGATCCTTTTGCAGGGTGGGGATGGACAAGGTGACCTCTTAAACATCCACTCAACCTCAAGCTCAGGGTAACAGTAGTTAGAAAGTCAGTTTTCACTGACAGCTGGTGCAGCAACAGCTTGCAAAAGGGAAGACATTTACTCTCCTAGGACTGCATGAAATGTTTGGGTAGAGACTCTCTCTTGAGCCCAAGGGAAAATATTCCAGTGTTCCTTTGAGAATGCTGCCAAGGTACAGAGGATAAGGTCTTTGCAGATATTGCCACCAGCTGAAAGCGTATTCAGTTGCCAGAGAGTCCATGTTGTTCCAGGTCTAGCGGATAAACCAAAAATCACCAAAATCAGTTGTTGTCAGCCATGGAAGCGAGCAACAGGATATCCTGACAGAAAAAACCTCTTCCATTTAGCCCTGCAGATAACTCTAGTTGAAAGCTTTCTGCTCTGCAGCCAAATATTCCAGACCCAACAGAGGAGCTTATTTCAGAGCAGAATTTGCCAGGGAGCACCCAATCTACCAGCCCCTGCAGAGGGGCAGAATCTGAGGCTGCTCCACGAGACGACGGCAAGAGAAGAGACCAACAAGGGCTGAATGTAGCAGACTGACGGTGCTGGGCTGGTTGCAGTAATGACTCCCTGTCCCATCTCCACTTACACCTTTCATGATGAAAGTGAAGTGGAGGTGCCAGCATGGACACTCAGAAGGAGAAGGCAGGAGTGCAAGCTTTCCTCTTCTGAGAGGCAGTTTTGAAGTTGCATCATTAACCCAGAGCTGAAGCTGCTTTTTGATTTCTGTAGAGCCAAAGCGCCGTGAGCTTGGCCGCCACTGTGCCCTCTGGTGGAACCCTCCAGGTTCTGACAGGGAAGCTTTTCCTCCTCTGTCAGGTTGTTGCCTTTTAACTAATTTGTTCACATAGTTAGTGTATGTGACACTTGGTTAGTTCATTCTGAAAAATAATTAACTGTTAGAAAAGAGGCAATGCTAGGATATTAAAAAATAGAAAGATCACTTGTGACACTTGAACAGTAATTATTTGAATTATAACAGAAATTTGCCCAAGAATGCAGAAGATATTTCTAATAGAGTATTTCTGAAGAGTGCTTGCTCGTGTGGAAGGAGGACTACTACAAGTTAAATCAGTTATACGCTAATCCTAGGGTTAATTAGAGACAAAGCCATCATTTGACATGCTGCAGAAAACAAGCAGCTAAACAATCGCCAAAGGGCAAACAAATCCAAAGTCCGTACATTTCTTGCAGGGCCTGCCTGTGCAGGCACTTGGTATTTTGAATATGTTTTTCTCCTTTAAATATCTTCCAGTCTCATCTGCTGTGCACAATGCTGTCACTGGGGCTTTGCTAAAGGTAACTCACTAATGAGAAGTGCAGACTGACAACTAGGGGAGACCAGGGTCCTTAGACGAATGGGCAACACAGACCCTCAGTTCAAGACCTTCTGAAGAACAGTCTCAGCCTTGGGAGCAGAGGCTCGCCCGCCCACGGGAACAAGACAAAACTAGGTCATTTCTGAAGTCAGCAGTAGCATATTATGCCCGTCCTGTCTAGACATGTTAAACAGGTAAGTAAAAGCACAGAACCTTAACTGTTCAAGTCTGAACTTACAATCCTGATGACGTGTAAGTACAGGCTAATATAATGTCCACTTTCAAGGCGTACTTTGGATGAAAATGGATCAATATCAATATCCCTGTATATAGCATACGGCTGTTGTGGTCAAACCTATTCTCAGCATTTCACAGCACAGTGGCTTTAGCCTTTTGGGAGTCAGACAGGAGTTCAGGAGCACTGCTGGAGCAGGGGACTGGGACAGACTGAGGAAATACCACGGCTATCCCATTACACCATAAGCTTCTGTACCATCCTATTGGATGTAGCAGGGCAGCAAAGGGAGTTTTGCATGCAAAAATTATATTCCCCGCCCCACCAATTAATTATCAATGATGCTGCTGAAGCAATGCTAAAGCAATTATTCTGTTAAATAAGCAGTTCAAGCATCCT